ATCGAGAAATGCAACGCCACGTTCTTGTAACTTTTGAACTATTGGAGGTATTGCAATGAAATTTTCATTAAAAAGATTCAAAAAGTAATCATTCTCTTAACTTTAGGTAATTAAATATTGATAAATATTTAAATAAATATAATATATAATAATATAATAAAATAAATATATATATAATAATATATATAATAATAAAGTTGATTCGTTAGACTTTTGTCATTGTTAAAACGTACGAAAAAGTGAAATAAACGCGAGAGAATCATAGTGCTTCATTAATTAACGCGAGTTTCCTATTAATTCGGAAAAACAGTGTGTTTGAAATTGGGCTCCCCCCTTTTTTACCTTCTTCGACTATTTCGTCTCTTTTTGTGCAGAAAGAAGTATTTTCAGCGTATTATTAATGCAATGGCGAGAACGAGTAAGGTTAGTTTTCCAAGATATTACAATATTTTATCTATATTCACTGTATTTTGTATATTTTGTCACTTAGCTTCAACACATATCTTTATATTTTTTTCAGAAGTTTGCTCTGCATTACCTGCCAAGGAAACAGAAGATACGCAACGAGTAACTTGGGATTATAATGTAAGTTTAATTATCTTCAACAGTTGTACGTTTTAAATAAATACAAATTAAAAATCAGTGAGAGTCACTGAATCCAATTTTTTATTGATTTATACTGAGTATACTATGTATACTATATTATACTATATTATATTATACTATATTATACTATATTATACTATATTATACTATATTATACTATGTTATACTATATTATATTATATTATACTATATTATACTATATTCTACTTTATACTACACTCGCGTGAAGCAAATGTTAGGCATTTCTTAATTGTTACGTCTCGTATATTTCTCTGAGTAGGCTAGGTCCTCCTGACGTATCCCAAGTGTGTGTATGCACAGACTATACGTATCCTGCGATCGAGTACTCACACAGCCACAGTCAAAACAATATTAAGCACTGAAATAAGATATATAGTTGAAATAAGGTATATAGAACATTCGCTTCTTAGTAACGTCTCTCGGTAACGCTGGTCGCAATGCTGAAATGGTAAGAGGATCTTAGGACCCCTCAAACTCCAAACAGAAAAGCCCATAGAATGTAACCTCTACACGGATCCCAAGCCTATATACTTATTTACATATGCATAATCCAGGGCAATCGAAAGACCCTAATTAGAGCCAAAATATAGAATGCAAAGATGAACCAATGTCGCATTCGTTTTATTACCGAGCTTCCTAGTTCCACCGTTGAATGGCGACACTAGTAAATTTGCCGAGCCGTTTTCGCTGTTCTGTTAATTACTCTTGATTACTACGAGATTTCTATTGGAATCTTTTACATCGAATCGATGCAACAGACTCTGCCGAATACTCCTGTGTCCGTAGAATAATTTTATTCACCACGGATATGTCGAACTCGATGGTTTTTTTTCAGATCCACGTACATATTGCCGACGTATAAACATTTTAGTTTGCCATTCGCCACCAGAGGGTGAGTCGGTTTCAATGCCCGTAAAAACACATGTTTTTCCTACGTAATCGTAATTAGCCATGATCGTAGAAATATATGAGACAAGGTCATTCCGTGAAATTTAAAAAAAAAAAAGAATTCTTCGGCGACCAGAGATATTCAATTTGAGAAATTAACGCCAAGATATTCACGCTTTCACGATTGGCGAACGCGAAGGGGTTTCAATCGTAAGTGTAACAGGTTGCTTAAAAGCTTGTTTTCCAAAGCCTTTGTCTGTGAACTTAGTAATAACTTTCGTGGGTTTAACCCTTTCAGTGGCGATCATCGATACATCGTTGTTGGCTGGACTTGAGAAAATGTTGTTTTCTTAATGTTTGTGATAAATAACAGTTTTATTTTCTACTTTATTATACGTATATTTTATATATTATTATATATATATTATTTTCCTAATTATCAGGTTCTAGAAAATTGCTATAATTTGTCTGGTATATTATATACCAAACAATTGTATTATATAATTATGTTACAATTATATTATATGATTATGTTACAGTTATATTATATAATTATGTTATAATTATATTATATACCAAACAATTGTATTATATAATTATGTTACAATTATATTATATGATTATGTTACAGTTATATTATATAATTATGTTATAATTATATTATATACCAAACAATTTTGTATTATATAATTATGTTACAATTATATTATATACCATACAATTATATTATATAATTATGTTACAATTATATTATATAACAGTTAAGGGGTTAAATATTATTTATATATTACCTATTATTATTGTTATTATATATTATTATATTATTATTACCTATATATTATTATTTAAATATTTCTAAATATTATTTATGTATTATTATCTATATATTATTATTTAAATTATATTAAATATTATTCACATAATAAATAACGATTAAATAAAAGTTGAGAGCTCAGAATACACAACTTGAAGATGAAGAACGCCCAGGTAGGCTGTCCACCACAGACGTAGATATGATTAGAACAGAAATGGAGAATAACCCAATAAATCAAAATCAACCATCCACGATCATACTGTGAAGCTTGGCTCCAACATTTCAATGAGCTGCGTTTTAATTTTCCTAAAAAATCGGCACGAACTTTCCGGACAACCCGATAGAAACGGATTAAGCACAGTCGTTACTTAACGCTTAAGAAAATCTTCGTACAAAAGTGGACCGACCCTGCGTTATGCGCGCATTTTCGGCGCGGCACCCCGTTGCAGTGGGAGCGTCACGGCGGACAACAACGCGCTCGTACCGAAAGGGTGAAACAGCTGCCGAGGAAACAGCGGCCGCTCGAAGCGAGTTTTTGATCGTTAGACACGCGGTTTTTTTAATCGTTACGCCGTAAAGATGACTGTGTAGTCCCGTGAGCGCGCGAGATTAGGCGAGCGGTTTCATCGTTGAGTCATACCGGTGTTCGCATCTCAACGAACTCGAGCGCGAAACGCGCGTGTCAGCTTGAAAAGATGCGACGCTACCGTAATTAGAGCGCCGTAGTTTCGAGCGATTCGTTTCTTTGCATCGTCCGCGTGGCTCTGGGAACAGGCGTTTTTCTTAGAATCCACTCGAAGCAACCGATTCTAATTGGAACAGTTTGTTCTTCGCGGTGCGGTTCAGGATTTGGAAATTCGTCGCTATGATTTCGATGTTCGGGGTTCGGCCGAAGCCGAAATGCGGCTGTCGTGTATTCTGAGCTCTCAACTTTTATTTAATCGTTATTTATTATGTGAATAATATTTAGTATAATTTAAATGATAATATATAGATAATAATATATAAATAATAATATATAGGTAATAATATATAAATAATATTTAACCCCTTAACTGTTATATAATATAATTGTTTGGTATATAATATAATTATAACATAATTATATAATATAATTGTAACATAATTATATAATATAATTGTTTGGTATATAATATAATTATAACATAATTATATAATATAATTATTTGGTATATAATATAATTGTAACATAATTATATAATACAATTGTTTGGTATATATAATATACCAGACAAATTATAGCAATTTTTTCGAAATTTCCAGCTTTAAACCGAGAAAACCACTTCCGCACAGTTCTTTCGGCTACAGCATCCTCGCCATAAACAGCGCATATCTTATTTGCCGCTTGTGCGGCATTTTTGCCCTTTCGGAAAAAGAAAAGCATTAAATGCCTATAATGCCCTTTATTTGCCACCATATTCCAAGGCGTACAAAACTGATAAAAATTAACGAATCGTAACCAAGCTTTTTTCCAAATATGGCTGAAGTTATCTCATTTAGAATATGTACACATGTCATTTGTTTTCAATAATTGTGATATATATTCAGTCAGATCTCTCACGCTACCTACCGAAAATCGGCACGAACTTTTCTCGGACAACCCAATAAATCTTTCTTTAACCCCTTAATGCACAGTTTTTTTTAAATAGGCCGGCCAAAAGAAATCAATTTTTTTAAATGTAAAAAAACACAATTTAGAACGTTGTCTTGGCAAGAAAATTACAAAAATTCAAAAATAATCAAAATTTTTATTGCAGTTCTAATTTTCAGAATATTATTATTATTATTATTATTATTATTATTATTATTATTATTATTGTTGTTGTTGTTGTTGTTGTTAATATTATTATTATTATTATTATTATATTTTATTTTACATTATATTTCAGTAAAATATACATTGAAAAATGAGCGAATCAGAATCTGAATATGAATACGCTGTCGGAAAGCGGCTCACAAGGAAGAGATAAGTCGTAAGTGATAAGTAGAAAAAGGATATATTTTATACTTGAACAAATAAGTGTTATAGCTTACAATCCCATGTAAATGATAAATATCAATAAAACGATTGTTTTTATTTTACTTTCACATTGTTATATTCAATTCTCGATTGCAGTCGAGTGTGAAAAATTATAGCAACATAAAGTACAACGCCGCTCGAATTATCTCGAGTGCGCACAGTTTGGCCAGTTTAGCGCGCTCGAGTTAACTCGAGCGTGCACGTTAAGCGTTTAAATGTTTCCTGTAAACATTCTGTAAAGGTCCTACAGAAATATGGCTTACACGGATGCCAGATGTATTCGGCGCTCGTCCACATTGGTCATCAGATGGACGCCGGATATATCCGGCGCTCGTACCGAAAGGGTTAAAGCCAGCTCGCCGCGCAGACGATCGTCCGAGCCGAAACCAACTTCCGTTCACAGAAGAACGAAGAATTGGGCCCGATGGGGCCCGCACAGACAACGGCGAGGAAGACGGCTCTTGGCGGAAGTGGAGCTCGCGGCGGCAGAGCCGAGGGTGGTCGGGCGGCCGGGTGGATGGGTGACAAGGGTTGCGTCAGGGCGCCGACGCGAGGCGTCGCGGCGCTTGGCGCCGCTTCACGCCGCTGCGCGCCGCGAGAGCCGATCGTCGTCGTCGGCCAGTACACGTTCGTTTCGTCGATCGAGCGCGTCGCGTCCTCGCCGCGGTCTGCGATTGTTTGTTTGACAACGTCGTCGATTCCGTCGTCGTCGATTCCGCCGTCGAACATATATCCGCGCCGAACCGCGCGCGATCCGCGCTGTGCACGACGTTGCCATGAGCGCGAGGGACAGCGTAGAATCGAAGGAAGCGTGGCTTCCGTCGCGACTACTATGATATCCCGCGACCAAACGATCCTCGTAAATATATCTTCTATCCGCGGGGGGAAGAGGAGGGGGGACGAAAGGCTGCGTTTTTCAGGCGACGCATTTTCTGTCGAGTTCGGATCGGCGTCCGCGCCTCGCGGATTTCCCGTGCTGTTTTCCTCCTCCGTCGCGCGTCCGGTCGCGGGCCGATCCGGCGATTTAATCGCGGCGACGACGCGCGAGATTTCTATGTATAGTATAATACAATCGTCTCGATCGTCGTCCCGTCGGCCGACCGCGTCCTCGACGAACAGCGTCCTTGATTAACCCTTTGCACTCGAAAATTGTTAGAAGTGTAAAACACTTTGTGTTACAAGTGTAAAACACTTTGGCACCGCTAAAATTGTTAGATCACGTTCCAAGAAAATGTCTTTAATAACAAAGTAAAGATTTAGAAAAACTACTAAAAGTGTAACTATTGTACGGATCGCCGCAAGGCACGATTTCATACGCATAAAATGCACTTTGTCGTGTAAAATGGAGATACTGTAAGTCGAAGAAATTATTTATGATGTACAGTTGAAATGGCTTCGAGTGCAAAGGGTTAAACAGCCGGAAGTAGACGCGCGGTACGTTGTATCCACGCTTTAACGATCGTCGCGGGACTAGACGTCGATTAAAGCCGATACTTTAACGAGGGTGAAGCGACGTTTCTTTCGCGGAACCTTTCTCGTCGTCGTCGTCGACGCGTGGTCGGATCCGCAGTCAGTGCATCGCGGCGTGCACCAGCGATTTCCGTTGCACCGCAGCCGCATCCGTCGCGACGCGAAACGCACTCGTTGCGAACGGCGTTCTCGCGTTCGCCGCGGTTCCACGAAATTCGAGCGTGTTGTAACGAGGATTCGCGGGGGTTCTAGAAGCGTATGCGGCAATGCGGCTGTTCCCCGCGTCCGCTTTCGCCGCGCTCGTTATTTAACCAGTTAGCTGTGCCCGACGAGTATACTCGTCACGGAGAAGTGGCGGTATTTTGCGTCGTGACGAGTATAATAAAAAGATTTATATGGATTCTTCTGTTTTTTATATGTAATAATTAACGAGTATAATAAGATAAAAATAATTGTTGGCTATATTTAGTTGCTATTCGCGACGAGTATAATAAAAAGATTTATATAGATTCTTCTTTTTTTATATGTAATAATTAACGAGTATAATGAAATAAAAATAATTGTTGGCTATTTAGTCGCTTCATTCGCGACGAGTATAATAAAAAGATTTATGTAGATTCTTCTGTTTTTATATGTAATAATTAACGAGTATAATAAAATAAAAATAATTGTTGGCTATATTTAGTCGCTCTATTCGCGACGAATATAATAAAAAGATTTATATAGATTCTTCTGTTTTTATATGTAATAATTAACGAGTATAATAAGATATAAATAACCGTTGGCTATTTAGATTATAATTTCAGGAAAAACAGAAACGTATTCTCAAATTTGTTATTAAACGTATTCTCAAAGATGTTTGGAATATTTTTAAGCCGATCTTATATATACAGGAAGGTGTTCGCATTGTTTACATTGTTATAAAAATAAAATTAGAAAAGAAAAGTCTGTAAAGTTCGTTGCATCGTTAAATTAAAAATCGGTCAGTACGACGGTGGCAGGTTTGATGTTCAAGTTGTAATTTTAGCGAAAACAGGAACGAATTCTCAAATTTCAAGAGGTTTAGAATATTTTCAGGCGAATCCTACGCGAAGTTGTTTATGCTGTTATGAAATTAAGATTGGAATAGAATCAAGATATCGGTGTTCGACGTGCAAAGTGCCATTATCGTTCCTTGCTTCGCCGAATACCGCTCTCTCTCTCTCTCTCTCTCTCTCTCTCTCTCTCTCTCTGCAGCAACAATTTGAATTTGTAACTTTTACAAGCATTCGATTTCTTTCGTTCCGTTTTTTCGTTCGCTACGTATGCAGTATGCGTTAACGTTAAGCGAACGAGTAAATATTGATAATAAAATTGTTGATTCTATGAAACGAAACTACCTGGTTAATTACGCAAATTCGAACCGGTCGTGTAACAAATCGCAGCTTCCTAAATCATAAAAAAAAGTCAGAATTTCTCGAATCGATTTCGAGGTGCAAAATATCCGAATCGCCGAATATTCGCATCTTTGTTAATTCTACGAAACGAAACCGTCTTCTTGATCCAACATAGGCGCGCGCTCTGAAAAATCGGCGCCACAGCTAACTGGTTAATTACGCTAATTCGAACCGTTCGTGTAACAAATCGCAGCTTCTTAAATCGTTAAAAAATGTCCGAATTTCTCGAATCGATTTCGAGGTGCAAAATATCCGAATCGCCGAATATTCATATCATTCCCCAACGATGATGCAAGTTGATAATAAAATAACAACAACCCTTTATATTCTTAATAAAAAATAACAATCCCAATATATTCTTCCAACGAATTTTCTATCTCGCGATTTTCGCGCGCCCGTTCGATTTCGATCTGCGTAACCGGTTTTCACTAAGCTTTTTATTAAGAAATTTGGAGAATCGAGAATTACTTTTGCTATTAAATTAAATCAACAACGGATTCGCGGCCGGCACTCGGTGTCATCGTCCTTCGTTTCTCAACCGTTCGAGTCCCAGGGGTTGTTCAGAAAACACGGTCGAAAAGAGTGCCGAACAGCGTGATAGCGCTTGTCTTAACCCTTTGCATCCGAGTGGCGACTCAGAGGCACCGCTGAAATTTGTTATGCCACGTTTTAAGATGATTTTTATATTAACGAAGCTTAGATTTTAAAAATTGTTAAGAGTGTAACTCTGTTGTGCGAGTCCCAAGGATCAATTTCGCATGCATAAAATGTGTGCATTTTATCATAAAAAAAAATAATATTATAATACTATAATACTATATAATATATAATATTATAATACTATAATACTATAATACTATATAATATCTAATATCTAATATTATAATACTATAATACTATAATATATAATACTATAATACTATAATATATAATACTATAATACTATAATACTATAATACTATAATACTATAATACTATAATACTATAATACTATAATATTATAATACTATAATACTATAATACTATAATGCTATAATACTATAATACTATAGTATATAATATTATAATACTATAAGTGAGAAAAATGATTTTATATTTACAGTTAAAATAGCTTCGAGTGCAAAGGGTTAATCGATCGCGAAGAGAATCAAGCGGCGCGATCGTTCTCGTCAAGATCGACGAGCAAAACGAAAAGAAAAAAAAGAAACGAAAAAGAGCAGCCACGCGACGTACGCGCGTCGCTAAAGTTCGATCGCGTCACAAGGTCCGAACAGCGCGATCGCTTTTTAGTTCACTTCACTCGAACGGTTAAGAACTTCTTTCGTTCGTTGAGACGACGCCTCGTTCTCGAGCCGCGCGGTCAAACCTGTCGACGCGTCGATCTCTCCCGTTTCCAGTGCAATTTGTCTCGCGTGGGATCCGCGGAGGGGTGTCCGGACTCGATAGAAGGCCCGTAGACACCGCGTGTCAGCGTGCAGGGTGCGTCGTGCACCGCCGCGATCATCCCGGCCGAGAGATCCGGCGAACGAACGGTGGCGAACGGTGAGGAACGGTGTGCCGCACGTGTCGAAACTGTGCCGCAGGTGGTGAATTCGAGATGCACCGTGCCGCCGCGCGATATCCTGTCGCGATGAACTGGTAACACGTGCGGGAGGCTTTCGTTCGCGTGTTTCTCGTGATCGGGGACAGAGAGAGACAGACAGAGAGATAGATAGAGAGAGAGAGAGAGAGAGAGAGAGAGAGAGAGAAAAACATATAGAAAAAGAAAGAGAAATCTATTTCTCTAGAAAGAGAGAGAAAGTGGGAGAGGGAGAAAAAAAGGGACTATAAGCAAAGGGTACGAGGAGCCGGTGCGTGCAGTGCGGGGGCCGCAGATCGGCTCGAAAGGGAGGAGAAAAATGAGGGCCTCGTTGCTGTTGCTGGGGGGCATCGTGGTACTCTCGGTCGCGGTCGCAAGAGCTCTTTCGTGTGTGTGCTCGCCCCTCGAGTGTGACGTTCTTACGGACGAGGATTGCCCCGGAGGCCTTACCTCGGACCCCTGCGGGTGAGTTGCGCTAGTTTCTATTTTCATGTCACGGCAAATCGCTCTCTATCCTCCGTTGGATGCGCCAGACGAGTTATTTATGTTAACCCTCCGAGGACGGCTGGCCTTCGATGCTTCGCGCGAGACGAATGCTGCGGGGTCGTTTCGACCCTTGATAAAGTTTTCATCGCGAATTAGCGTCGGCGAGGAGTCGCGTATGAAAACACGCGTTTCGTAGTGCGTGTAGTTCGTTGCCTCTTTTAGTTTTGCTTTTCTTTTCTTCTTCTTTTTTTTGCGCATCCGTCGCGTTGCCGCGAAAGCGATTTCGGCGGTTTTGTTAGCTGTGTGATTCGACGGGCAGAGATTACTTTTGCTATGCCGCGCAATAAGGGATGAAATAAGCGTACTTTTTTGTGCGGTACTTGCTCGGAAATTTGGAGAACCGAGAATTACTTTTGCAGCTCCGGGATAAGTGTGATAAGTGTACTTTTTTGTATGCTTTTTTAGCGAGAAATTTGGGGAAACGAGATTCTTTTTACTTTTGCAACTTAACGATGTACGAGATAAGTGTACTTTTTGTGGGCTTTTCAGTAAGAAACTTGGGGAACGGGTAATTACTTTTGCAGCTCGACGATACATGCGACGAGTGTACTTTTTGTGTACTTTTTACTGAGAAATTTGGAGAATCGAGGATTAATTTTGCAGCTCGAGGATCGCGTGAAATAAGTGTACTTTTTCCATGTTTTTTTACTGAGAAATTTGGGAAAGCGAGAATTACTTTTGCTACTCAACGATATATGAAATAAGTGTACTTTTTGTACGCTTTTTACTAAGAAATTTGGGAAAGCGAGAATTACTTTTGCTACTCAACGATATATGAAATAAGTGTACTTTTTGTACGCTTTTTACTAAGAAATTTGGGAAAGCGAGAATTACTTTTGCTACTCAACGATATATGAAATAAGTGTACTTTTTGTACGCTTTTTACTAAGAAATTTGGGAAAGCGAGAATTACTTTTGCTACTCAACGATATATGAAATAAGTGTACTTTTTGTATGCTTCTTAAAAAACCGGCAATTACTTGCGCAACTCAACGATCCATGAGATAAGTGTACTTTTTGTATGCTTTTCAGCAAGGAACTTGAGAAAGCGAAATTACTTTTGCAACTTAACGATGTATGAGATAAGCGTACTTTTTGTATGCTTCTTACGAAGAAACTTGGAGAACGGGTAATTACTTTTGCAACTCGACGATACATGAAATAAGTATACATTTTGTATACTTTTTAACAAGAAATTTTGGAAAGCGTAATTACTTTTGTAACTTAACGGTGTATGAGATAAGTGTGCACACACTTTTCTGTGCTTTTTACTAAGAAACTTGGGGAACGGGTCATTACTTTTGCAACTCGACGATACACGAAATAATTACACATTTTGTATGCTTTTTACTAAGAAATTTGGAAAACCGAGAATCACTTTTGCAACTCAACGATACATAAAATAAGTGTACTTTTTGTATGCTTCTTAAAAAACCGGCAATTACTTGCGCAATTCAACGAACCATGAAATAAGTGTACTTTTTGTATGCTCCTTGCAAATAAATTTGGAAAAATTTGGAAAAACGAGAATCACTTTTGCAACTCAACGATTCATGAAATAAGTACGTACATTAATGTGAATACATAGCAATGTTGCAATAAAAACGATGACTCAACTCTTTCATTTCTATTTTATTGCCACGATTCGAAGGCAATTCGGAGGCCACATGCTGCGATTAGAAGGCAAACGGATCATTTTGCATCATCTTCCACGATTTACTTAAAAAAATACATCCGGGAAAATTAAAAATAACTTTGACCAACTTCGTCGTCCCTTAGGATCGACGTAGCAATAAATCACATAGGCGTAGGACTAGTCCAGGGAAATTCACAGCAATCCGAAATTTCTCATTTCCGGAAGAAAATCACTATACTTTCTCCACAGATTTCTATTTATCACCGAATCCATATAATTCCTCTTACAAGTCTGGCCATTTATTTGCAATCGCTTCGTTATATGTTTATTTCATTATTTTATTATCATTTCATTATCTTATTTTAGCCCAGGGAAATTCACAGCAACCCGAAATTTCGCATTTCCGGGAGAAATCACTGTACTTCCTCCACAGATTTCTATTTATCACCGAATCCATATAATTCCTCTTACAAGTCTGGCCATTTATTTGCAATCGCTTCGTTATACGTTTATTTCATTATTTTATTTGAGCCCAGAGAAATTCACAGCAACCCGAAATTTCTCATTTCCGGGAGAAATCACTGTACTTCCTCCACAGATTTCTATTTATCACCGAATGCATATAATTCCTCTCACAAGTCTGGCCATTTATTTGCAATCGCTTCGTTATACGTTTATTTCATTATTTTATTTGAGCCCAGAGAAATTCACAGCAACCCGAAATTTCTCATTTCCGGGAGAAATCACTGTACTTCCTCCACAGATTTCTATTTATCACCGAATGCATATAATTCCTCTCACAAGTCTGGCCATTTATTTGCAATCGCTTCGTTATACGTTTATTTCATTATTTTATTTTAGCCCAGGGAAATTCACGGCAACCCGAAATTTCTCATTTCCGGGAGAAAATCACTGTACTTGCTCCACCGAATCCATATAATTCCTCTTACAAGCCTACACGTGGCCATTGATTTGCAATCGCTTCGTCATACGTTTATTTCGACGAACGTATCGATCGTTTCGCTATTCCACGAGAAAGTCGGAGCCGTGATCCGGTATTCGCAGACTCCGAGGCCGGTTTCGATTCGCAGCCGCCGCCGCCGCTGCGACCCGTGCACATTCGAGCGAAACCTTCGCAACGATTCGGCGGTATTCCGCCGGGGTGTTCTTTTTGCTCGATTCCGTTGCCACCAAAACCGATTAAACCTCTCGAGCCGTGTGTGCATGCATGTATTCTATGAAGTCGATTCGCTGCGGCGCGGCGATAGCCGTTTGAAACGTTCGGCAGTCGGCTGTCGGAGACGCGACCACGACTGTCATTCGTGCAGCGTTTGACCCGCGCCGGTGTTAGGGAAATGTGCCCGGTGCACATGCAGCTATACTACACAACGATACGCAACCCCGAAACGCAACGAAACAAAACAAAACGGGGAGGGAGAAAAAGATAAAAGAATCGTATCGGAGGCTTCGATCCGTTGATTTCGATCTGGACAGTCTTGACGTGAAAAGCGCGAGCGCGGCGAGCGTGCGAGCGAGCTTATCGAATCCATTCGCGTCCGTTGACCGCGTACATGATAAATAGCGTAGAATATAGAGTAGAGAGTATGTGTATACACGTACAGAGCGTAGCTCATAGGCTCCTATCGGCCGGCAGTTTATCGGCCCCGCGTGCGCCGCGCGCGTTTGTTCGCGAAATATCAATCTTCATTTTTGGGAACGTCGCGTCCCCGCGACGCGTTCCGACACCCGCGCGGCACGGATCGCTTCCCTCCGCTCCGCTCAGAACGATCCCTTCGAGCCCTTCGAACGGCCGATAATCGTTCCGCGAGCAATTCAAATCCGCAGCCGAAACAAGGGCGCCGCTTTTCTCGGCGGCGGCGCTGGGCAAGACGAAAATTCTGCTCTTTGTCGGGCGCGGGTCTTTATCCGAGGGCCCCCGGGGGAAGTTTATTTCGATGTTCCGGCAGGAAAATAGGGCACGGCGAAGGGATGCCGGAATTCGTGTGATGCGCGTGCATTCGAACGCCGGATCGATCGGAAGCGACGATCGCCGAAATTTTATGCCGCTTCTTCTACTTTCGTGCTCGAGAACCGCGAAACGCGCGGCGCGCCGTTCGCGGTCGAGCTTCGCGCGCGTGTCTCTCGCTCTGATTTCCGTGTGTATGTGCACAGGTGTTTGTACGCGCCTCTTGTCGGCATCGAGGGGTGATCGCGAGCATTCTTCCGGCCGGATGATCGTTACGTTAAGGGATTTATGTGAATTTCGAGGGGAATGTTTTTATAGTCTTTAACTTGCGAGTTTTAATGGATTATTTATGATTATTATGTTATATATATTGTAACTATTACAATTATATATATTAATATATAACTATTATAACTATTATAACTATTATAACTATATATATTAATATATAACTATTATAATTATTATAACTATATATATTAATATATAACTATTATAACTATTATAACTATATATATTAATATATAACTATTATAATTATTATAACTATATATATTAATATATAACTATTATAACTATTATAACTATATATATTAATATATAACTATTATAATTATTATAACTATATATATTAATATATAACTATTATAACTATTATAACTATATATATTAATATATAACTATTATAATTATTATAACTATATATGTTAATATATAACTATTATAACTATATATATTAATATATAACTATTATAATAATATATATTATATATAGTTTCGATATCTAATTTGCAAAAGATTAATGAAATGATTCAAGAATTTATGCGGTACGGAAACAGTTAAATACGTAATATCGCAACGTTTGTGGCCACTTGTACACCAGTTATGGCTATATTTAGTGCCACTTCTGACCAGCTTAAAAGTTTCATGTTACACGTATCATAAATTTATAACGATTAATTAACAACAGTATTAATATTAATAATAATATAAGCGATTAAAACGCAGCATGATTTTGAAAAAATGTTCGCTTTTCTATATTTCACTCTGTTGCATTTGAAAATCTTGTTGTTGTAACATACAACCATGATATACATTAAAATAATAAGGGTAGTTTTAGTTTATTTATTTTCTAAAAATATGTCTTGCGTTATTCTCATATTCTTCCCTTGTTTCTTTCATTCTTTATACATTCCTTTTCTTCCAATTTTCTTCTATTTGCTCCTAATTTGTTTTTCTTCATTTCCTCCGTTTTCTCTTGTTTTTGTTATTGATCTTATTTGTAGAAAAAAAGAACGGCTTTTTCATTAATTATAG